AAATTTAGTATTCAGATAGACTGTGTCTGGGAGTAAGACATAGGTCGTTGAAACTCAGAGAAGTACTCGAGCGAAGATAGAATAAATCGCTAGTAAGTTATAAAATTAAAAAATAAAACAACAAATTGGACTTGTACCTACGTGCAAAAATAAACGCGTTCAAACAAACATAAAACCAAACTATTCACAACTACTTAGCATAGATTGAAAAAATATCTCGTATAAAAATTTAGTTCCAACTAATGATGGGTCGTCTTACATAACAGATATGCACTTAAGGATTATTTTAGACTAGCGGCTCACCCTCGCTTCGCTCGGGTTCGTCGCTAGGTACGTTTTAAATAGATATAAACGTGAATCAGTATTCACGCGCGATGGCTTATTATTAGCGTATTTCATGTATAACTTTGGTGTTTCTATACCGATTTCTATGATTCTTTTTTATGGAATAGTTAATAATGTTAACTTTTTTAATTAGGGATGACTGAGAGTGTTATAAACGTAAGAGTAGACGTAAATCAGAAAGCTTCGAACTGCTAAGCTATCGGGAGTTACACGTGTTATTGTGAGTCAACCATAAAAGATAGACATATGCTGTCGTGGGATATTTTTTATATAATTTTAAGGAGAACATTTCCGTCATACATGATTTCTGTGTAGCTTTAACCATTAAGGTTGCACACGCGACGGAAGCTTAAAAAATGGAGTAACTTCTCCCGTTTTCCCAACATTTCCCTTCACTGCTCTGCTCCTATTGATTGTAGCGTGATGAAAAGTATACTTTAACTAGCTCAGGAGTATGAAAAATAATTGTACCAAGTTTCGCTAAAATCCGTTGAGTAGTTTTTGTTTCTATAACGGTTATACAGACAGACAGACAAAAATTTTACTAATTGCATTTTTGGCATCAGTATCGATCCCTAATCACCCCCTGATAGTTATTTTGGAAATATATTTCATGTACAGAATTGACCTCTCTACAGATTTATTATAAGTATAGATAAAGTTGCCTAGAAGATGTAACTTTAGATTCCTTTCAAATATGACATACTGTAACAACTTCCTTATATTAGCTTCCTTGTATTAACTTTATTGAACTAATTTCTTATAGAATATACTCATTTTATTATTAGCTTTTGCTCGCGCGTTATGATGATACCACATTCTTCTTTCACCGGACGCACCCAGACAAGGCGAGGGTAAGTCACTAGTGCACAACATATAAAACACTTAAATTTAATTAAGTTAATAATTTTGATTCATTAATATTTGCTTACCTTTAGATTAAATACAAAAAAATGTTAAGAAGAAATATCAACAAAATAGAAAATTTCGTTAAAGTATAACAACAAATGAAAACAAAACATATTCTCCACCCAAAGAACTCTCAATCAAGTAATGTATTATAATTGAAAAGGTACAGATTAGTCTAAAAGGGAGTCAGTAATCCGAAATCACTTAACAATAAGTACAATAATATATGTATGTAGTATGTAGTACAGTTTACAGCAACAATTGGTAAGCTCCCACGCTCCGTAACTTGACTAACAAGCCTAGTAGATGTGGACACACAGACAGAAAGAAATATAATAGTATATAAATATAAATATATGATCTCATTAAGATAATATGTGAAATCCGGCAACCCGCACATGGCCAGCGTGGTGGACTATGGCGGACTATGGAGGGGGATCACCCCTCGTATTGAAGGGAGGACCGTGCCCCGCAGTTGGACATTAAAAAGGGCTGAATACATAACCTCATTAGTATACTGCCCACCGAGAGGGACGTCTCTCAGTGTGTCTTTGGCTTCACGTGCGGCTGGATTGCCGGACGGTAATGAGCCCAAAACATGACAAGGTGATCTAGACTAAATATAGTTATTGGGGTTCTCTATCAGGAAATTCTCAAAATAAGCCCAGTTGGAATTACACTCCCGTGCCTAATAGAACACTGTCGATCTTTGGTACGGTGCTCGATTTCCGGTCGTTTCAAATCATCACCATCTCTCTCATCGGAGTTTGAGAGTGAAAGAAGTAGTTTCACTGAGAGACGGGCACCGTGGTCTTAATCGCCCTGTTATTATTATTATAAATTCAATATGTGGATATTATCATTATGAACTAGAAGTAGTAAACACAGGTGCACTGTTTTGCTAGAGGACCGACGGCTTCATGTTCTCTTGGACACGGGACACTACTAACTTACTCCAGTACTTGAGTTGTAACACTGCTACTTACTTTAATCCCAGACCTCTTAATCTGCAATCGTAAATACTAACCATTAGACTTATGCGTGTTTTGTGTTCCTTAGTTTCATTTCACACAGCATAAATCATTATGTTCACAACTTCGCTCTTTATCTTCATGAAACATGAGGTGTATTTAATCATTAAAATATTAATGTTATAGGAATAAATTGAATAATTAAATAACTTATACAATAAAACGAAAAAGTTTATTTGTCCGTGTGTATTGGTTTCGTAGAAGATAATTTGACATTTGGCAGCTAGATTCATCGCGCACAAGATGTGTGCTTGAATATGTTTAGAATAATCATTCTAATTGCATCTGCAGATGCTGTTCAGTTAATTATAAATACATTTGGGTTTTTGTGTACTTCATAATAAAGTAAATACATATTATGTATATAACTAATGTATTTGCATGAGCAGCACGCAAAATCTACTTGACTGATTTTGATGAAACCTATCGGGTCTGAAAAATCATGTTCAGATCCAAAATTGTATAGGCATGTGGTAGAATGACAAGATTCATAGTGATGATGATGTTCTCCTGACCGACTTCGGCCACGGCGGGCAATCTTATCGAGATTAGCCAACTGCGCAGGAGATATTATAGTGCACGAGTGTACGCGCAGACACAAGTGCATTCTCTATTCCTGTCACTCTCATACTCCGGTGGGACGACCATTCGACACGATCAGTGAGAGTTAAGGCGCCTTAAATTCATAGTAATATAATAATTACATTATATGCTTGTAAGTTGTTGCTTATAAAACTCCCAATATTTAGGTATTCGCATTTTGTTGATCAATAAAGACCAAAAATTTCCCTTTTACGAGAAGAATAATTATGTATTTTGCGCAACTCAACAGATTATTCATAATCATCATATTTTAAATAAATACGATTAATACAACTTCTAGCTTTGTTAACGTTTTTAGCCATAAATCGATCGATCGTAGCTAAAAGTCGCAAACTATTCATTTTATTGTTATTATTTTGTTATTCGATTATAATTCTGAATATTGAACGCCCTTTCTCTTTGGCTATATACGAGTACAAAACTATGGTATAAATTATTGTTTTTCAATAGACCTATCCTTTAATCAATTCCAAAAACTGTGTAATGGTTTTATTTAAATTAGTTTTCTAAAAGATTTACCTAAGAACCCTCAAAATATGAATAGCACGAATATTGAAAATATTAATTCATCATCATTTATTGAAGTGTCTAAATAATTACTTTTTGGAATATATTCATAACTTCCGACAACATGCCATAAAAGGTACTCTACATAATTTTCTGATATCCATTGGGTGTCTTGGGTAATCATCTATATGAAAAAAAACACGTCAACACACAAACAAACTTAAATTTTTAACATTAGTAGCTTTTTGCAGTCTGTGTGTATCGCAACTCACCGCAGATATTTAGCGTCTAGATTCAACGTTACAAGACGTATGCCAAGTTGTGATGAATATCCGCTCGCCTGAATTTAACTCCTTGCTGGTACCTATATAGCAAATGTTACGGCATTTCACATTTTGTGTAACATAATGGTAAACTTTTAACTTTACCTGCTTTTGATACCAGTTTGCATATGGACTGTAGATGTTGTGCAATTTAATTCCTTTGCTTTAGGATTTTAGGCATGTTGAGATTAGCTTATTTCATCAGCGATGATGATATATGTATGTGATGATGATGATAGGTAGATAAAGACTTATATCAGTAAAAATAAATAGATCTTATTAGAAATAACTGATGAGATTCCTTGTAAACATTTTTTAACCCCGTCTAACCCATTAGGGTCGTCGCAGGATCACTTAAACACTTAACCACTACCCCCCGATTTCCGGACAGTCATTGTAAAATCTAGATTCTAGTCCAACACCAGAAAAAAACGATTAATTAAGTTATGATAATATGTTAAAGAAAATAAACTTTTTATTATTTAAGCACCAACTATTAGAAGCGTGCCATTAGAGTACAACAATATATAAAGAAAAATATTTTCAAGTTATATTTTTGTCTCAATACTTTTTGTTTTAGGAAATAGTATTCAAAATGTTTTTGAGCCAAACTCTTTCAGAGAAACACCTGCAATTTCTCTCATATTAGAGACGTGCCTTCATTCTCTAGCAGGGAATTTTTAAAGGTAATGTGCAACTAAATACTTAATTTTAATGATTCTTTTTAGAAAAATAAAATTTACTTTTATATTTGGGAAATAAAAATTAATTTTGATATAAAATGTTTTATTCAAAAACATTAAATTATTTACAATTAATTAGTCTTAAAGTTATTTGTAAGTCATGATTGTTGAACAATCTGTTCTAAGTAGAATAAAATACTATCTTTATCATGATTTTAATATTATTTTTGGTTATTTTGAATGAAACAATTAAAAATATTTTGTAAAATATGAAAGAAACTTAAAATATTATATGATCATAAAATTTAAAGACTAGTTAGGATTTTATTCTACAAAGAGTATAAATAACAAATCAAAAATATTTACAAATTTAGTCTGTATAATATTCTCTTTTATATCTCACATAACATTCTAACAACTGCCTCTCTTCTCTTTTAAGCATTAAGTTTTTAATACTATGCAAAATAATATGAAATAAATAACTTTTTTTGGAAAATTAATAATCGTAAGTATCGCATATTGAGCACCTTGAAACAATTAAGTGTACAAAAAACAAGATATTGTAACTTTCCTATAATATATAGATGAGTATATATTTATTTAAACGATAAATATTTATTTATTCTATTAATAAAACTATTAGATAAAATTGGTTTGGCGGCTATTCTGTCTCTAAGACTAGCTATTGTAGAAGCTAAGTACGACGCGGGAGTCGGACCTACGATACTTTGAGTTTTAGGTGTTGACACTAAACTGGTATAAAGATTCTTATTACCTATTAAAACTACTTTTTCTGTTGTAGAATCGTATTTTGTGTCTTGATTATTACTACCTACTAGTAAATCTGTATAAACAGGTGTTGAGGTTACTCTTTGTGTGAACAAATCTTTTATATCATCGTATGATGGCCTAACTGTAGGTATTAAAACTGTTGTGGAAACTGGATTAAAATTAAATTTAGTTGTATAAGGTTGGTAGTTGTTATTATATTCGGATGAATAATCGTAATATTCTTTAGAATTATAATCCGATTCTTCGCGTACAGGAATTGTTTGCTTTATGTTTGCATTGTAATTAGCATTTATAAGTTGATTGTTGAAGTTGTTAGCATTACTGTTGTAATTATTTGGATTACTAATATAGTTATTGGCGTTATTATTGAAGTTATTTGGATTATTATTATAGCTATTTAGATTATTATTGTTGTAGTTATTGATGTTGTAATAATCTCTCTGATCTGAATTATCTGTTTTTTCATCGTCGTATCGAACATTTGCTTTATAACCATTTTCGTCAGCTGTATAAGATACTATTTGGGTTCTGCCATCTGGAAGTCGAACCCGATACTCTCCATTAGTCGCTGAGCCACTGCTTTGTTGGGAATGTGAAAAATCATCACCTGTTTTATGATCTTTCACTGTATATGAGAAAGCATAATTTTGATTCTGAAAAAAATCACATGACATTTTTTAAAACCAGGTCTGGAGCGTGATATATATTAATTTATTTACTTTTTTAATTTAAAGGCTGAAAACATACAACCCAGTTTCAATAGTTTAGACAAATATTACATATCCGTTATAAAAATGAATTTAGAAAGATGGCGTTCATTTTGCTTTTTAGCTGGCTATGCTTATTTTAAAAAATAAGAAATAGATACGCAGTTCCGATTTAATAATAAAATATAGTATTATATATAGCATTTATATTGTAGAGCTATAATTGGATCTTTAATAAATTGAACAACATTCATAGCAATTTGAAACAATTTTAATTATAAAAGGATAAATTAAAACTCACCTGATCCTGATCATATCCAGCGTTGCGGTCATCAACCGATACGTCGTTGTTTTCGTAGTGGTTTGTATAATCAAAATTTTTCGGCTGAAAATTTAATTTGAAGATCCATTTTAAATGTTATTTGAATATCAAAATATACTACTCTATTATAAACATTCGTATGCTATAGTAAGAAAAACGTGATTTTTAAAACATTTTCTTGAATGTTAGATTGACTGGGATGGATGAATATTTTTTATTCTAATAGGATACCTAAAGGGTATTATTTCAATTTTATTCTGTTATGTTATTATTAATAGACTAGGTCATAAATTTTGTCCATATCCATCTAGACATTTTAGCGTGAAAGAGTGACAAATACACATACAAATACATTCAAACTTGTACATTTATAATGGCAGTGAAGTAAAAGTGAAGTCATGGTAAGAAAATTCGCCAAGTTTCTTTTTATTCTTATCAGGATTGATGTATTTTTTCAAGCAGTAGGATGATAAATTTGCTGAATTATTATATTATCTTGAATTGATTTTCATGCTTTCTTCACGCAAGCAGTCAGAACAGGAGTGAGTATGAGTAAGGGAAGTAGAGAGAGGTATAGAGAAAATGATTATAAGAGAAAATATTTAAATAACAGTAATAAAAATATATAACAAACTTGGTTATCGTAATTCACTCGTTTCTTCTGTAAATCCAACAAATTCTGATTTGCGTGGTCTCCCAATGCTTTGTAAATAGGTGGTAAAGCTGTGCGTATCTAAAACCGTAATATTGTTTTCATTACTTAATAAGTAAAACCAGGATATATCGAAGGATATATGTGCTCTCCAATTCCAAGGCTTCGCACCGCCAATTAAAACTAAAAGTAAATCTTCTACTATCTATACTAACTATATATGTATAACTATCAGGCATAATTGTGACATTGGTACAGTTGGAGTTTGGATCAAGATCCAAGCGGGGGCTCGAACCCATAGCCTCAAGATCTCAGCAGCTGTTCATGCTAGCCACTAGATTAATGCGGCAATCAATTTTTTAGAACTTAGTCAAGATATTTAATCAACACACTTCTAATAAAAACGAAAAAATATTAATGTACAAAAAGAATTCATCATAAAGCAAAACTTAATTTGGTATAGCCACTTTATAAAGAACACGCATTGCAACTTTCTAGAATTAGCTGTGAGACATTAAAAATGCAATACTTAGAGCATTTAGTGCTAACTTGGCTGTCTGTTCATCAACGGGAGAACAGAAAATGACTGTATTATTTTTCAATAACTACCCTTAATTTCAACTGTAATTTTTATTTTTATTTGTACATATGGACTTTTTGCCTGCAATAAATGATTTATAGTTATTAATATATATTTTTATCAGCGATATCTATCGTAGAAAGTCAACTTGATTAAAGGGGCTGTTCGTTAAGACAAGTGCGACGTCAACGCCTCTCAGCACGATAGCACATCTAAGTCATGCACTCTACGTCGGAAACGTACATACTAGATAATAGGTATGTATTCATAAACTGGTGTAGGGGTTGGTCATTGGCGAGTTCGAATCTTGTTTGGGACAAACTTTATATATATCATTTCTATAAGTATTTGCCACGGTTGGATGTTTGTTTGTGTGTAAGATTACGATAAAAAGAAGCGTATGTTTATGTTCATCAAGGATATGGGCTGCCTACAATCAAAATATCATTCAAATCAGTTGAAATGATATTTTTATATTTTTTATTGCTTTTAAAAGAAGTACAGATTAAATAAAGTGGACTTATATCTAAGAGAAATTTTTTCAGACATTTTATGGATGAGGAAAAAATTGTTAGCTGTTTGTTTTAGTATAAATTATTAGTAATACTGGAGTAACAATAAGAAATGTTCTAACATTAGTGTGATTCGATTTACTTTGCTATAGTCGAAACTAGACTAAATAACTATGTGTCGACAAATTAGATGAGCATAAGTTCGTTTAAACAAAACAAACAATAACACATTGAGAACACCTGTCGCAATCAATCAAGCCCCTATTGTAGGAAAATAATATGAAATGATTTATCCCAATAACGCGATGAAAATAGCGTTGTTACATATTTTCTGACAAATGAAATTAATAATACTTTCTTAGATTTCTTAGATTAACGCGAACATTTTTTCGAAAGTTTTCGAATTTTTGAGGTGTAAAAGTGAGGTGTAAAAAGGTGTGTTAGTCTCTCCCATAATTATGTTTGATGTAAAGCAATCGAAACATCGGGAACCAAAACCAAAATACATAGATCCATGAAAAAGTCCGAAAAGTTCAGAAAGACGCAAAAAACGGCGGGATGGATTTGGATCAAATTTAGTGTACACTCAGACAATCTCCTGTATCTCTATAACATTTAATATACAAAAGGCCTATAGGTCACTAGTATATTATAAGAATATAACACTCGCTTAATAGCTTTATTTTGAAAGCTGTTTTGACGAGTCATCAAGAGAAGAATATATGTAAGAAATATGCATCGTAAGGTGCCAAATATGGAAATAATTTAGATCTAAGCAATATCTAAAAATAGCAAAGAAAATCGAATATATTTCCATTCGTAAAACACATGTTTAGCTATGAGATATTCATATCTTAAAATATTGTTGGCTGGCACCGACTTCGAAAATATCTGATTAGGTATCTATTCTAAATGAAAACCCCCGTTTAGTTATTTTTTGCATTTCAGTGCCTGGAAGTCGGTTATAATTTTTTTTTTAAGTTTTTATCTGTCCATTTTTAGTGTAGACTTAATAAGCAGGTAATTTGTTAGAAGTTTTTTAATAACATGTTTGATTAAGCAATTTGTTTAAAAAAATAATTTATTTGTTGATTTTTTAAAATTTAGATTTCGATAAAATTTATATGGAACCACCTGGAATGTATACCCTTTGAAACAAAAAAAATCCAAATCGGTTCAGGCGTCTTCGAGTAATCGGTGAACATACATAAAAAAAAGAAAATAAAAAGATTAATATTTTTCATTTTTCGTTTTTCATTTTTCATTTGTAAAAGTATATATTAATAGTGTTGCTTAGTAAATTGTTTTTAAATAATAGCAAACTAAATTAAAATTATTATCCTTAATTAATTTTAATTTTTAAATTACACATAGAACAATTATATGGCTTAAATAATTAATACTATATTTTATATTTTTTCTTTATGGTTATAAATATAATAATGGCAACACTAAATATAGATTACTAATTAATATTTTTAAAATTGTAATAATTATAAAAATAATAGCAAAAATTAAATAAATAATTTTCCATATTCAATTATAATTAAAATTATAAAAATGTTTTAAAGTTAAAAATATTGTAATGTAATTGGTGCATTTTTCATTTTGTTAATTGTGGGTAGGCTGTCTGTAACAACTATACATTCAAGACATGTAACACCTCAGTCTCTCCCGTGACCATGGATGCTGTAAAGCATTCGAAACGTCGGGAACCAAAAATCAAAATAAATCCGCGAAATAATCCGAAAAGATAGTTTTATTTAATAAAAAAAAAGATTCCGACGAATTGAGAACTTCCTCCTTTTTTGGGAAGTCGGTTAAAAAGTGCTTGTAACCGAGTAACTATTTGAATAAAATATATTTTTGTTTTGATTTTAAACGTAATAAACAGACAGAATTACTTTCAGAGTATTAATAATTATGTAGTGTTTGGACGTAGTATTAAATTAATTACAGGAAATTTAGAATATATTCGTGTTTGGATGTTTCTGATTCAACTTAATTTGTAAATGAATTATATAATTGAAAACTAGATACTGGGTATTAAGTCATTTAGTTTATTTAATAACTATATAACGTGACCTCTATGTTGTAAGGTAGCGGGTTGTTGTGGAGCTTAAGATAATTCTGTCGTATGATTCGATATGAAGCGATTAGCCGGAAAAACAGACAACAAAAATTATAAAAAATATTTTTTTTCTTATTAGAACTTTATATATTTTCATATTAATTTAGTAAGAAGCTGTTATTTAAACATTACAAGCAGACACTTAAATTTTATTTATTTGTAAAGATATAATATGGGACTGATTTACGCCTTGTACCCAAAAAGTTTCTACATAAGAACAGTATTAATAGAGTCAGTAGAAAACATACTACAGTATTGCATGGCGTGATGGAAAAATAATGGAAATGAAAAGACGAAATATATTTCCTTCATTAATTAGCAGATATTACGCCATCAGCGTAACAAAAAACGTTAGTACCAGGCTTAGTATAATTAACTTTCAAATTATGATAATACTTTTTATTTTTAACACGAATATTTAGCTATTTAGTTTATTTTATTTATGTGCTAAAGTCTAAACAATTCAACGAAATAGTGTTATTAATTTACAATATTAGGATTGGGACTTATCCCGTTTTATATTCTAAAAGGGATAAATAGTTTATTAAAGTTTGGTTTTTATCTAAAGCACTAGCATTGCCCGCGGCTCTGCCCGCGTTTAGATAACCAGAAACCAAATTCTTAGGTTTTACATATTATTAGTATAGGTAATCTTACATTGCAGTTTTTGTATTTTTTCACAGAAATGAGATATTTTCCCGCGGTAAAAAGTATCCTATATGTTGACCCGGATAGCCAGCTATCATCATACCAAATTTCATCAAAATCTATCCAGTAGTTTTCCCGTGATGCGGTAACAGACAGACAGACAAAAGTTCTAAAAACTATAGATTCGGCCTCTGTATCGATAATAAAGCCTATTTCAATAACATTTTCCAAAAAATATTTAATGCACAGATTCGGCTTAGATTAAATTTTATTATGTTTATAGATATTATGCCAAAAGTCACCCATAACTTGCTTATCAATTACCTAAGCAAATCTATCTGTGGCATCTATTTGATGGGTGACCATATTACTAATATTATAAATGTGAAAGTATAGATGGATGTTTGGATGTTTGTGATTCAATCACGCCAGAACGGCTGAACGAATCTGGATGAAAGGCACGGAGATATTTACAGTTTGAAATAGCACAAAGGCTTTTTATCCCGGAAAAATGTACAATTCCCTTGGGATAGATTTGTTTCTGTTTTCCTAGAGGCGTACTGAGGGAAGCAAGGGTTTGTCGCTAGTTTATTATAAAACTAGTGTTTGTCCAATGGTCGAAATTCAACCATAATTATTATTGAAAATTTGAAGAAAACATATATGAATAGAATTTACCTATCTCTATAAAAAAATGTCTGTTTCCAAATTTTATGTTGCTAAAATTAAAGCTCGTCAAAAGCTACTACGTACAAAAAAATCAGTCGACAAACAGACGAGAAAAAGGTACTGAACTGTTTTGTCTTTGCCTATTTCTATATAGATTTTTTGCTCCCGACGGTTCCCATGGTCACGGTCACTAAGATCCGTGACTATTTAAAAGCTGTTATAATGATCTCAAACGATAGGGATTTATCTGCGTAAATCTAAGAAATCTATAACGTGTACAGCGCAATTTTTTATATATTCCAGGAAAAAAACGAAATAATTAAAAAACAATATAATTTCTACATACCTCATAATCATCATATACATTTTCTCTCACATAGCCGTTCAATTGTACCTTCTTCAGCCTGTCAGTATATGGACCACCACCGTAAGTAGTCGCTTGATATTCCACATTATTATTCACATCATTACCAAATAGAGTCTGATCTAGGATATTTTCAGGGTTTTTACCAAAATTCTGGTTGTAGTACGGTTGATAAGCGATATTATTGATTTGGGATTGTTGTGCTATGGAATTGTTTTCGCTTAACTCGCTTCTAGCAATGGATTCGATGAGAGGACGAGATGTCACCACTAGAGGCGGTTTTGGTGGCGGAGGGCTATCGTTTGGGAACAATACCGGACCTTGCCTGAAAGAAGTAGAAAAATAATAATATATAATGTATGTCACAGTCGTGGTTAGAATTAGAAATATAATCGCTAATACAGTGATCAGTTTCTAGCAAACATGAGGTATAGGTTTTAGCAAAAGTAAATTGAATAAAATGATATAATAAATATTAAAATAGTAATTTATAAATAGTACTAAAAATATACATAATGTCTATAGTAATATTTATAAATCTAAGTACTTTTATTTTTATTTGAACGAACTAATCTTAGGAAGTCAGTCAGTTCGATTTGTGAAATTTTAATTTTATTCTACTACTGTAATCAACGGTAGCTTATGTATGTAAATATATGTTCAATTTTCTGGGCAGAGCCGCGAGCAAAAGGTAGTTAAAGCACTGATACCAAGTAAAGCATCTGTCTAAAGACTATTTTCCTTCCAAGTAGACACTGTTAGACGTCCATAATTGATTAACATAAAAAATCTACGAATTATATAAAAAGGCCGTTAAATAACATATTTTTATTTGTATTTTATCACTGAATAACTAAAACATGTTGGTTTTATGAAAACTAAACGATTTATCTAAAAATGGGGGGAAATTCGCAATTTTATTTTAGACTTCAGCGAAACCTAACTCGCTTAAGAATACAGCAGAGGCTAAATTTAGTATTTAATTTAGAAATTGTTTGAAAGAGATAGTACGACTTATGTTTGCTTAAAATGGTCATAGGTTCGATTGATTTGAATGTACAAACAGTTTTTTGCGGGACTTTGGCTAACTTATAAGCAATTTGTTTATACTATGACACAAATCGCAATGAAATATTTGCCTACGATTTCTCGACATGTCTAACTAAACACGACGTATGACAATTTTTCAAATTCATGCGAGTATCGCACGAATTGGTTTGAAAGCGAGATTTGCCATTCCATTTCGATGATTAGCACGGTATTGTATTCAAAATGACACAAAAATCATATAAATTTGCATCTGCTGACAATATTAAGTTCATTGATTTTTATAGATGTAACGAGTGCTTGTAGAATAGTGAGCATAAAAATTATAAAAATCGTGATGCAAGAAATGCTGCTTCAATGCTTTTTGAAGAGAACTGAGAGTTGAGAATTTTGGCCCGAAGGAAATAACAGTAAAAATAAATAGTATAAGAAGTCAATATCTATAAGATAAACTCGTAATACAATTCTTGCTTTCAAATTTCGTTTACACATAGACGTCCAGTATTCAATGACTAGGCGATCATCGCTCTACATCGTACGATATCGTATGTTTAGTTTACATGCTCATACTTTTTTTCTTGCTGTCAATAATCGCATCTTCGAGGCAAGAAAATTTTTCCATGTAATGGAAACGATATAAGAATGTCTTTTTTTCTATTCTATATATAAATAGAATTCATAATACCAATTTATAGATAGATCGATACACTCGTAGCAACCACCCGAAACTTTATACCTCAATTTAACCTAAAAGATGTATTTTGGATCATTTGTTGAACAAGTCGAATGGGGGTTTCATTAAACAATCGTTAAGGATAGTTAAAACTTCCACCTAGTATTGATAGCTGTAACTATGCCCCATTAAGAGTAATCAATGTTAGAGATTTCATTAAAATCAATAATGGATGATCTAAGGCACTTTCCATACATCATCCATTAAGATTTCGATCCGCCCCGATGTGCATCCTTGACGTTGTGTGTTTGTGTGTCATAAGCGTCCAGCAATCCAGCCGGGCGTCAAGCCAAGAGATACAGAGACACACACAGAGAGGTGGCCCACCTCAGTGGGTGGTGCACCATGCGGGTTGTTCCTGGTACTTCTCTGATAACAGAGTGGACCTTAGGAGGTTTTGTTAGGTTTTAATCGGTAGTTCTGACTTTTTTGACTGGGTCTGGTATGCGTAAATGCATTTCCCAACGAAAAAAATGGAAAGTAGAGATGGTCTCTACCAAAATGGGAAATGCTGTTCTTCATTCATTCTACAAGGGTTTCAGCATGTGCGTATTATTTCACGTGCATGTCCTTAGCACCTACCTTTTTTTTGAAGTCGGTCAAAAATGTATACTTACTTCGTTGGCTCTTTATTTTCCTTCAAGAATTGTATTTGGTATGGATGGTAATTGAAGTTTCTTGGTGCGATCAGACTGGCTGGAGTCGGTATCTCTTGGGAGGCCACTGTGGTAATGATGAAGAGAATGATGAACATTGTAGATCTGAAAATTAACAGAAGTATTTTTATTTTAATTTTATATGAAAACGGTGGTACATACACACTAAGTGTGAAGTGTGAAAGTGTGTGTGGTGTGTGCATGTGTATAATAATAATAATAAATTTTATTTCAAGTAATTTAGACTCATATCTTGTTAGTATATAAAGTGCTTATATTCTATGTTAGTACTTATATTCTAGACACATTTTAGATACATATACTTTTACATTTACATACATTTATACATTACTAACAAGAAATAGCACAGCAGTGATTAACATTTATCTACATTCTCACACGCTCAGTATCCCTAGATGTTTAGATGACTTATAATACGATACCATTGATATTTAAAACATAGATACACATTTCCTAAAAATATCTCTTCAAAAAGTGGCGTCGATATGTGACGTTTAGTGAAACCAAAGAATAAAATTAAAAAATCCCAAGTTCTAATCAACACAAATTCGAACTTACGTGCACCAAATAAAGTACACCACCATACAACTTTTTAAACAAAACAACGTTTTGATTTGTCATCCGAAAAGCAATGTACTAAAGAGATTTGAAAAAGCATACAATTACCAATTGTGCACTTCTTTTTGAGGACATTTTTGAGACGCTAATTATGTATTTTGTGTTTTTGTATATTAATGTATCATATATAGGTAGTGCCACCTATGAACAAATTTTTTTGTTTAACACTACCGTTAGCATGTGTCACTCTAGATCATAATATGTCAGCAAATAGGACAAACATACACACAAACAGATATAAACTTTAAACATCAAACAAAGTTACAGTCTCACTATTTATTAACAAATTAGATACTTAAGAAAATAGAAGTAAATAATAAAATCTACCACTGGAGCAGCCTTCAAGTGAATTTCATATTAATTTATCAAAGCTAGAAGGAAAGCAATCTGTCCGTCTGTCTGCTGTTTCTTAGGTACAAATAATTCAAATACATGCTTTGTAGATTACAAAACGAATTTATTATGAGATTGATTTATTAGAACTTGTTCATCGTTTTAGCTCTGTAGAATATCTGTTTAATACTTACTATCTAGAGTATGATATAATGGCCATTTGAGACTACGGGTTTGATTCTCGCTTGAAATAAATATATGTATTATATGTTCGAGTATTATGTACCACTTTACTACTAGGTATATAATCTCTAATAGAATTAATGCGTGCATGTGTATGAGTGTCTAAGTATGTGTGTGGGTGAGTGTATGTACATATGTGCATGCATGCGTGCGTGTGTATGCGTGTACGTTTTATGTGAGTATGTACGTGTGTCGTGTATGTATGTGTATGCTTATGTGAGTATGTATGTGTATTTGTTAGTTTTACTATTATTGTTGGTACAGCAGATTAAAAAACATTTTTACTCTTCGAAATTCAAACTAAAAATTTATGATTTTTAAATAAGAACCAAATTGTTTAATTTCCATTTATTTGGAGTGTAGCGTGTTCAAGGCAACATACGTATATCGCACAAACTGTTCAAAAAGCCCTCAATTAAGCACTCAATTCGTAATCAATGGAATAAAAATCGCACATTCTACAACCACGAGCTATAGTAATTGAATGAAAAACGATAATACCCAATATATTGTTAATTTTTGATACAATCAACTGTTTGCAGATACTGTACTATACGTTTCCGGTGGTTTTGTTTGTTTTTATGGAAATTATTCATAGTAATATTAAATAATATTACCTATAAATGCGAAAGGATGTTTGTCTATTTAGTAGCCCTGAAGTAACGATTTATATGTTTTTTTTTAATAAAGACAATCTACAAGCAGGAGATTGGTATATCCTATTTCTTATTACTTTCTTAGATTCACGCGAATATTTGATATTTACACATATAATAAAGTTCTAACTGAATCGAATCTGTGCATTAAATATTTTTTGGATAATCTTAATGAAATAGTAATTGTTATTAATATAGAGGTCGAATCTATAGTTTTTTAAAATTTTTGTCTGTCTGTCTGGGAATGCATCATGAGAAAACGACTAGCCAGATTTTGATTAAATTTTTTATGATGATAGCTGGTCAACATATAGGATACTTTTTACTGCGGGAAAATATCTCATCCCTGAGAAATCTATGCTAATCGACTATTTAATTTTTGAGGTTTTATTTGACTTTTTGTCCGAATGTTTTACCAACAAGATTATACAATAACTGGGAAGAAACGAGAAATATAATATTTAATCAATAATTCGTGGGAGATAAGCAATGGGGTTTGAAAATATCATTCTCGTTGACCCGATCTTAAGTACCTCTTTGAAAATCTATTAAAATATCTCTCAATATATACATAAGTATATGTATTTTGTTGAAATCCATTCGTTTTACAAAACGTATATAATAATTTTAACATATTTTCAATTAAAAGAACTCTTTCACACAACACTGTTATCCCACGACACAATGGCTTCACGACAATATGGGCCTATCTGTGGCGTTCCCACGACAATGATGCAATCGGTAAATTGTATGTTTTTACTATACTTATTTAATAGCTGCATAAGGGCTTCCTCCATCTTATGTATATTTTAGGCTAAATGCAGACGAATACGTCGTATATGTGCTTATTTGTCCAAACGACCAATTTACCGAAAGAGTTTTTAATGCAGAATCATTGACTTTTAAATGTCAAATTTTACTTTAAAAAAGCCGAAAAATTGTTTTTTTATCTATATATGGATATAAATCGTGGAAATATATGTTTTTAAAATACGAATAGTTATAAGTTTTTAAAAACTATAAAATATTTTGTACTTGTACGTTATAGGTCTCCTTAAAACAAATCACATTCGTCTCAACTCGAAGGGTTACTGGTAACTATAGAAGAGTTCCACAATTTACTTTCTAGCTTAACTAGATCAGGTCGATAGTAAAAAAATATTGTGTTGCCAGATTCGGATTTCACATAGGTATTTATGAAATTTCATAGCGATGATTATTGGAAATAGACTAAAATCGGATTCCAAGCTTTGATAGACGAGTTAAACGGGAGTCTAATAAAAAGGTGGTTACAAATACGTAGATATTACTCGATAGGTCTTTCATTCCTTGTGTTATTTATAAGATACCAAACAAAAAATGCTTAATTAAATAATGACAACCTTGATGATATTAAAAATAACAAGGTTCGTAATGAAAGATACGAAAATATTTTTTAATAAACTAAATATCATCTTTTATAAACCTAACTAGATATACTAATGAAAATATATTAATTTTGTCATTTTCTTTCACTACTTACCGTATAGTACTACAGTAAAAAATATAGTACAACTAGCAGAACCCGCGGCTTTGCTCGCGCTAAAACTACAAAATAATCTCTAAAAACGTAGTTTCCTATAAACTTTCATCCCCCATTTTACCCCTTATAGGATCAATTTCGAATAATGCTAAAACACATATTTATTAAATTTTAGTGAAGAGCATTAATACCAAGTTTTAAGTAATTCTGATCAAAAATATTTTTTGGATTGTATTATAGCGTGTTTTCCGTGGGAATTAAATACTCTCCCGCGGCAAAAGAAGCCTATTTCGCTCTCTACCCCTCTAACTATCTCCACACAAAAAATCACGCCAATCAGTTTCTCCGTTTCGACGTGAAAGAAGGACAAACACATTTTTAATACATATTAGTATGGAAAATTAATTAACCTAATTAAAGAAAAATAATAACGAAGTTCTCGTTTTTAAATTCCGACAATGTAAGACCCTTGTGATAAGAATGTCACTCGCAAATAGTCAATTTAATAAATAACCAAAAATATAAAGCTAAAAGGCAGTGGTAGCCTAGTGGTAACGCGCTTACTTGGGAAACCGAGTGAAGCGGGTTCAAACGTAGCACAGACGAAAATTCAGTTATGTCGTTTCTCTACTAAATCAAAACTACACTTACCGTAAATAATACATTCAAATTCACAAAACTTCTTCACAAGATTCACAAACAAAAGTTTATTCAGTACCAAAAAGGATTTAACAATTTAAAAAAACGTCCTTAGTCTGTGGCTTTAAAAAAAAACAAATTAAATATGGCCGCCACTTCAAACAGCTGTTAAGCGCGGGAATCAGACATGAAGTGTTGATAGCGACGGTGTCAACGACTTTTATTGTACAAGCTACAATAAGTCACGGGTTTTGCAATAATTTTCATAATATTCCTTATATAATGAATTATTATAATAGAATAACATAATTATAATTTATTAAAAGAAATTTTATTGGCTTCCCTTATTTTGTCGAAGGTACGAGATTCCAATTTTAACAAAACACTTGCTTATACCTCAGACTAAGGAACAATATAGACAGTGTCGTAGAACTAAACATGAAGCCAAACAATAATGTTTTAATATAATTTAGGTATGCTTTGAATTAGTATACAAATGACAATTACAGTGATAAAGAAATAAGCAAAATTTATTTTTTAAAGCTAATATGCTATATCTCTTTCAAGGAGAAGTAAAATAATGCTTAAAAAATACATACATACTACTAGCAGAACCCGCCTTGTGGCATCTTCCGTTCAATCTAGCAAAAATTTTTTGGCTTCATGTTATACAGCAACTCACCTTAGCTTCGCTTGGGTTCGTCGCTATGCATTCGTTTATATAATATTGTTCATACAAAAATAATAAAATCTCGATTAAAAAATGGTATGGTAGAAGGGTGAAAAATACTTTACGGCCTAATCTCATACCTACCAAATGTACAAAAGAAAACATAAAAATCGGTCGAGCCGTTTCGGAGGAGTGCGACCTCAAACACCGTGACACGAGACACTTTTTTATTCATATTTCATTCTCATTTAATCGGAAAAATAATGAGGATAAAGTACAAAAATACTAGACATCCGATTAATTAGTAAAACTACTGCAACATTAACAAGCTGTTATCGAACCTACGACTACTGATGAAGTAAATGACCAAGTACAATCCAAATAATATTTACTTTT